ATTATTATTATTATTATTATTATTATTATTATTATTATTAGTATTAGTATTATTATTATTATTTATTTTCTATTTTAGTTGTCACCTTCTCCTGATGATGATAGCAAGTAAACTAATAAACTAATTTTAATACTCACACACACAATGTACTTGTCTTATCTCCTCTCTCCCTCTCTCTCTCCCCCCCTCCCTCCCTTCCTCCCTCCCTTCCTCCCTCCCTCCCTCCCTCCCTCCCTCCCTCCCTCCCTCTCTCTCTCTCTCTCTCTCCTCAGGTATATTGCTACTACTGCTAAAGATGGCTGCCTCTTGTTTTGGAAATGGGACCCATAAACACTCAAATTTCAGTGAGAAAGAAAAGGGAGAAAGATAGAGTAAATTATTATTATTATTTTTAGTGATAAACCAGTTAAATTTATGGAGAAGAACAGGGTCAGTGATCAAACTCTCTGTTCAGCTTTTAGTCCTGGTAAGCCCCAGACCCCCTACTATCAATATTACCGGACCCCTACCCCAGGGGGTAAATTCTATGTTACAGGGGGTACTGATAAGATAGTACGTGTGTATGAGATGAGTGATCCTCCATTACTAGTGAATGAACTCACTGGTCACACTGACAGGATATTAACAATACAATTCAACAACAATGGACAATGGTATGTGTGGGTGGGTGTACATGTACATGTACTGTATTTTTAATGTAATATATTCTATTTATACAGTAGATAAACATTTTAGTGATGTTATATTTTATATTTTAGATGGTTCTTTTTTCTCCTCTAGTTGTTTTGCTACTGGTTCTTGTGACGGTACTTCTATCATATGGAGATACTCCAGTTCTCAATGGACCAGTATTGTACTGGTAGCTAGTGTTGATCAACAGCTAATGTACGTTTAGACACATGAACTAATTTATGCATGTACATGTACATGTACTATTAGTAACGCGGTAGCGTTACTAAGTAGGATTCACCCCCAAACAAAATGGCTGCCACGACTTTTGCAGCCTTGCTATACCGGGAAAACGAGCTCCTACGCTTACCAGACTTTATAGAGGACCTTATCTTGACCAGAGGACTCCAATGGTACCACTAGCGTGGCTCTAGACCTTGTCTAAGAGGAAATTCAAAAATCGGCGAACCGGCCGTTTTGTTCAGCCACCTTTTTTCATCTTCATCATCATCATCATCATCATCTTCATCTTCATCAAGTCCTGTCAATCCAGTTGTCGGTGTGTATCTTGGTATTGGTTGGTGCTACAAGGATAATTCTTACACCAATCTACTCCAAAAGTCTATGCGCAGGTCCATGTCCCATTAGATCATTCTTCAAGTGAGGAAAAAGTGATACTGTGACTGCTGGATCGAGCCATCTTAGCTGCATGCCGCCATTTTGTTAATTAAAGAAGCTTGCCATGTGCTCCAAAATTTGGGTGTGGTCGCGCATGCTCAGATCTGCAGCTCTCGAAGAAGCAAGTTATTTTACCAAGCTATGCTTGGAATCAACTTACTGCAATACTTTAGTGGAGGT